TCGGAGCATTTGTCGAATACCAGTCTTCCCCGGAATCGCCAACTTGATAACAACTGATCAGCCCTGTAAACTCTATTTTAGGCATAATAAGAGATACTGGGCGGGGCTTTTCCACCCAGGCATCTGTATGCCTCTGTACATGCGGGGTAATTTAGCATGAGTGTACGTGTGCAAATTCCAAACGCTGGCGACCTCCTCAATCAGACTGGAGATCAATGAGATTGAATGATTAGGTTTTAATTTTGAATGCAATCAGATACGTGAAACTTGTAGTATTTCTGGGGAGGAGGGAGACTCCCCTTCCTTCCTCATTCTCTTTCTAATCTATTTTTTTAAAAGCACAACGTGAACTCTTTTTATATTTATTTTTTCGTCTTTATGGCTCCCATTTTAAAACAAGAGGGGTCTGAAATCTTCATCAAACTGCTCTTCTCTCGCTGAAGAAAAGTAAAAATGCTGAGTGAGTCCACAAAACCTGGGCTGGCTGATCTGATAGCTTCGTACCAGTCCCTTCAGTGACTCTACTGCCCCCCTCCCTCCCCCAGTTTCTGTTTAGAAGCAGAATCGGGGCTTATCTCTTTCCAAACACCTGGGGAGATGGGAGATAATGCCATTTTTAAAACCTTCTCCAAAAGGCTCTCAGCATGGATGTGGTTTTCACGAAAGTGTTTATACCTCCATTTACTGAAAATATAATGGCCAGCTCCAGATGAGTAATTCCAGTCAATATTAAGAGATCCAGGCCTAATTTCAGGGACAGCTAAAACCAGCCAGTGGCCGGCCACGAAATGTAGAGCATCACAAGCTGAATGGCAAGCTCACTGGTGTTTTCAGTTTAAGAAGCCACAACCACTTCCAAAGACATCAGTTTAGTCTTTCATATGTTATACTAACCTTGATGAAGTAATCACATGATACATTTAGTGTGTATATATGCTTTCATTTTATTTTTTTAAAGCTAGTATTTTGTTTCAGAATCTTCTTTATCTTCGCATAATTACAGAGGTGGAGATCACCAGGAAAAAACAAGACAATACATAAGGCAGTAGTTTCTTAAAGTTTAGCAAGCCAGAGAGTCCTCTGGAGCGATTATTTCAAACCTAAGTTTTTCAGCTGCACCCAGATGCAAGGCACAAGAATTGAATTTCTGGCAAATTTCTCAAGAATGGGGAGGCAGGACCTGGTTCAAGCTTGAGACACACTGTGGTTGCTCACACTCACGTAACTGGAGAAGCAGTATATCAGTGTATGATTTTAAGGAGGAAAAAAACTGGTTTAAAACAAACTCTAAAACTTAAAAAAAAAGTTTCTAAATTTACTCAAACATCAACAAACTTCTTTAGGCTGCTTTCTAAATTTTTTTTCATCCTTACACAATTGGAGTTGAAAATAAAATGTTAAACTTTCTTTTGTCTAATGCCACAGTTGCAATATATTACTGAGTCTCCCCCCACCCACAAAAAAAGAAAAAGGACATGGTTGCTTTTAGATTTCTTTATTAGGATTCCTTAACATAAAATGTAAAATAAAAAAAGGACTGAATTTCCTTAAAATATTACATATTAATTGGTGTACATTTATGTTTTGGCCATCTTCCTATTTTACACTATTAAAGTTTTTATTTTTTTAAGATTTTACTTATTTACCTTTAGAGGGGAAGGGAAGGAGGGAGGCAGAGAAATATCAATGTGTGGTGGCCTCTTGTGTGTCTGGGAACTGGCCTGCAACCCAGGCATGTGCCCTAACTGGGAGTAGAACCGCAGTCCCTTGGTTCACAGGCCCGGGCTCAATCCACTGAGCTATGCCAGCCAGGGCTTAAAGTTTTTAAAACTCTTATTTTCAAATACCCTTGGCAGGTGTTTCACATTATGAAATCCCTTTGTTCACGGAATCCAGACACCCCAGCTTTTTATGTGTAGGAGCAATTTCAGGAATGAATGAATGAATGAATGAGTGAGTGAGTTACTCTAAATTTGAAAGCAACTAATAAACCTGAAAGTTCTCAGTAATCATACTATGGTAAACACATTTTATTTGTGTTTGGTATTTTTTTAAAGATTATTTTAGTTTCTAAGCATGCACTAAAGAATGAAAAGGAGAAAAAAAATGAAGTCCAATGCAGCAAGTAATCTTTGTGTTTTATTCTACCATTCCCTGCTCCACCTATAGACGTTGGAGTCTCCCCAGCTCTTCTCCACCTTCCAAGCCTTTGCTTCCTATAAACCTCCTGATTCCCTACTCTCCAACTAACTAGCACTTCATTGGCTGTCTCCTGCAGTCAAAATGGTAGCCAAAGTCCCGCCCATAGTGGAAAAGCAGTGTTTTTTACTACTGGAGTGCCTCTGCATCTCATTCAATTGCTGTAGACTCCTCTGCAAAATTGCCTGCCTGTCATGAAACACAGGCTGGGGAACCTTTGCCTCATCCCACTCTGGGCATCAGTCGGCGAAGGGTATTCTGGGTGCAGTCCTCTCTACCCCATCCCCTGTATCAGATTATCCTCCTAACCCTTCAGATAACCCCCTTTCCTCCCCCCAAATGCTCCACAACACATGCAATTTCAGTGTCCATTCCAAAAAGCCTGTGTAACACAAGCCTCTTCCTGCTGGAAGTCTCTAACCCTGGAAAGGATGTTGAAGAGAAAAGACTTTCTTAAGGAGTTAGGCTCTCACCACTGTGACATTACACTGCATCTTATTAGGCGTGGGTGGAATTGTTAAAGAGGCAAATGCCTTGTCTTTCAGCATCCCTGATTATTTTAGACATATCCTTATAGGGCTTTATAACATTATCTTCATCCTCTTTCACACTGCTTAATCATCCAGACCTCTCCTAAGAATCAGGAGGCAATGAGTAGGAAGTTCCTACTGCAGTGCTTGGAGCAGAGATCCACAAGGATAGAGGGGACTACCGTGAATTCCAGTTGGCCAAAACTCAATGACCATGGCCATAACTGCTCTCAGAGTACCTGAGGACAAGGTGAGTCAAAACATACTCATCCTAACCCCAGGTACCAAAAGCCATTGGATTCTGATGACTCTCTTCACTTTGTCAAAACTGTTCCCCCCTGCACCCCACTTAAGAAAATGAGATTTGGGGATATTGTCTATCTCTACCATTCTGGCTTCCTTTGGGGATGAGTTTGTTGTTCGTGACAATACCCAGCCTTCAGCAAACACAAGCTTTTCTTTAGTTCTACTGATGGAAGAAGGTGCCCCAAGGAGAGATCCAGACCATTTGTTTAAAGTGCAAATGAGAGACTTGGGGGGGGGGGCACTAACTGGACTGGGGGAGGAAGGGAATGGGAACATCTGCAATAGTATCAACAATAGAAATAAAGAAAAACCAGTGCCAGTGAATGCCTGGAAATGAAGCCCAACCCAAGATGGGATTTATTTCTTTGTCCACGTGGGACTGCCTGGTCTAGCAGTTATATTGTGATTGAGGTTTGATGGCTGTTCTTTTTTTCAAGACTGAATTAGCTAGTTACTGAATTACTGTGCAAGCACACAGAGTCTGGGGAAAGAACAAACAGTTATTTAGTGGCTGTCTGGGGAGGAAAAGGGTACCTCCCGGTTCTCTTCAGCTCTCCCTCTCTGAAATTACTCACAAGTTTCTTGCCCATGACATCTAGAATGTGAAAGACAGATATGAGACTGAGTCAATATTCTTTTCAACATTTCACAATGGGTGTTAGATGCAGCACACGCACACACACACACACACACACACACACACAATGTCAAACCTGCATATACATTGTAAGCACGTTGTGTCTATTTTCTCATTCTGCCCGCTCTATCTCATTAATTTGAGTCCGACCGTGCAAGCTCTGCAGACCTTGTGTCTGGTCCTCCGCACCCTTTCCTCCATCTGTTTGGGCTCTGCCCCCAGATGGTAAAACCTTTCCTCAGAAAGCACTTCTCCTGCATAGGGAATGGACTCAATTGGGGCATTTCTATAGAGGGAGTTAAACAAAAAAAAGTAAGGATGACTTTATCTTTTTTTAAAACTAATTTTACTAAATGATGATCATAGTGGATGATCACATTTCCACATATTAGCCTCAGTGATAGGAAGAAAATGGACCTCCTAATTTATGATCCCTTCGTCTTACACCGGCTCTCCCAGAAGATGGCCATTTCTCAAGATCAAAGTGGAGTCCATCAGAGGACTTGAAGGAGCCTCAGACAGGGCATCTCTTGGCGGAGCTGCAGGCATGGTGCCTATGCAGAAATCTGGAGGCAGGACACGCTGAGACCTTTAGCGACGCCTCCCTTTATTCCCAGGCAACTTCTGCTCCTCTTTCCCCACCTTATTGCGCACCCCTCTGCTCTCCCTCATTTTGTCTCCCCAAAGGAGTAGAAGCCTGGGGATATCTGGAATGCGCTCCACCCTCAAGACCGCGACACTCGGCCTCTGAATATCATCTGAAAAGAAGACAGCGGTCTTACAAACATCTCACTGTTCGCAAGACGCTCTTGGAATGACAAGGAGATAAGCTACCCACGAGACGCCACTGCCCTGTGCTCCCTCTACCCGCCCCCCTCCCCACGGAGAACAGTTGGGGTCGCTGAGACGCTTTTTAAGCTAACGCCAGCCCCAAAGCTCAGGTAAGCCTGGAGAGAGAGCGCCCTCGGGTACTTCCTCCGCATCCTTTTAGCATCTGCCAGCTCTCTTAGCTGGGAGCTTGGCCCTCCGCAGGCTGCGCGCACTGCACGGAAGGGCGCATCTCCACCCGCCGCCGCCTCTGGCGGCGGAGACGCGCGGGGCGTGCTTGGTCGCGAGCAGCTAAAAGTTGTGCGCCCACTTGCTAAGGGGGAGAGCCGAGGAGCCACGAGCGAAGAGGGAAGGCTGGGAGGGGGCGGGGAGGGGGACTGCTTACACGAATTTCCAAGTGGTAGACCTGCCTCTGCGCTCTGCCCAATGAGATCCGTCAGGGGAGGCACCCGGTTCACTTTTCCACATCACTTCACAGTTACATTTGGCAGGCAGGCGGGCTCGCACGCCGGAGCGCTCAGCCCAGATTTAGAGGATTTATTTGGAATCTCCCTGCCTCCTCAAAGCTCGTCCTCAGTCGCCGGTTTGCGCCCAGACGGTAGAGTCCACCCCGCCGCTCCACTTGGGGTTGCGGACACCCGGAGCCCAGCGCGCCCGGTCTGCGTCTCCGCACCCAGCCCCGCAGCTTCTAGAGGCATGAACGGAATCCGGAGGCACCTGCCCAGCGCGCGGGGACCATTTGGTGCTCGCCGCCCTCGGGAACCAACCCCGAGTCCCTCCAGCCATTTGTGAACCAAGAGGCTTGAAATTCGCCAGCGCGGAGGCAGCCCCACAAGAGTAAGTGAGCCCCCTTTCTCCCATTTTTCACCATGCCCCGAGGACCCAGAAGGAGCCGTTCCTTTTAGGAATCCCCATGCCCCTTCGGACACCTTGCGCGCCTCCTTCCGCTCAGATGGTGGATGCGGGTTCCCTGTCCGGGTGGCGGGCTGTGCTGGATCTTCTTTGCTGACATGCACGACAGACCTGCCGCCTCAAGTCTTGCCTGACGATTTTTGCAAACCTCTGTGACAGTCGATCCTGGGGATTAGCAAAGCAGGCTGTGCCCCTCCAGTGTTCCTGCCGGTCTCCCTCCTTTTGGTCGCCCGGCGATTCCACCGCCCCTCGACCCAGGCAGGCGCAGCTGCAGCCGCGCGCCTTCACTGCAGGGGGCTGCGCGGTGAATGGGAAGCACCTGCCGCTGGTGGGGAGGCCGGTGAGAGACGGCGAGGAAAGGAGGGAAGGGGAATGGGGTGCCCTCTCTCTGGTCTGCTGCGTCTCTCCACCCCCGAAGAGAGGGAGGGATACACCCCCGCCGTGGGGCTGCGGATCACGACTCAGCGGCCAGAAACCCAGCGCCAGGCTTTCCCACAAGTGGCTGCTCCAGCCTGGGAGGCGCGGTTCCGGCTGCAAACTTGCGGGATCCCGCGCGCCGCCCCGCGGCTCTGCAAGCTCCCAGACGCTTCCCCGCATCCAGGCAGGACCGTCAGGCAAGGTCCTTTCTCAGGCGGCGAGCCTGAGCTTACGGAGGCCCCCAAAGCGGGGGACTCCTCGGTTCCCCCACCCTCCTCCCGGCGGCTGCAGAGCTTGAGCTGCGCTTTCTGTCATCTCCCTGCTCCCATCCGCCAACCCTTGGCGGGGTGGGGGGGTGGGGTGGCCGCGCCCCTCGCAGGGCCGGAGGAAGAGAGGGCTCTCGCCTGGGTTCTGCCAGCGCGTAACAGGTTCCTAAGGGACCTACTCCCGTTCTCCTACGCTCCAGCCGAGGTCGGGAGACAGTGAAAATCTGCCGCCTCCAACAGCGATGCCAACAGGTATCCACATTTCCCCCCGCCCTTTCCCTCCCCAAGACCGAAGCCTTCTCCTCCCCAGTCTGGCCGCGACCTCAAAGTTTCCTTGTGGTCGACCTTTCCCCACAAGCACAGAGCCGGCGGCAAGTCAAGGACTAGCCCTTTGCTTCCGCGAGCGGAGATGGCAGCTGTTTGCTTGGGTTGCTAAATGTAAGAAATCAAACAACATTAATTGTTTATTGTAGCCAACGCACAACATTAGTCTGCAATGGAAAGTCGGGCTGGCAGCTGCTCACTTTAGCTCCGATTAGAGGCTGGGGCTCGTAATCGGACGAGCGGGAGGGAGACAAGGACCTTTCAACTTTACCACCCTTTCCTGAAGATTCCACAAGAGTTTCCTCTTTAAGAGGCACGAGCTGGCAGTCCCTTAGCGCGCCCGAGCTGCTAAACACATCAGCCGGCTGCTTTCTCCGCCCGGCTTCTCAGCACTTGCGAGCTGACAATGGGAAGGAGGGGACGCGGGAGAAGGTAGGCGACAGCACTGCCCTCTCTGACTTCCGTAGGGTCGCAGAGCCCGGAGGAGGGACTGGGTTCGGTTGGGGCCCTTGGGAAGCACCTGTCCTCTTTACAAAGCTCCTGACAGCCGTCTCAAAGGTTAACAGCCTTCCTCGGGCTCTCCCCTCCGGCTCCATGATAGGCGCCTTTCAACTGGGAAACTATACGTGGGAAAGAGATATTTATGTAAGACCGGCGAGTGGGATTTTCCATCCATTCAACCTCACCGCTGTACCTCGCTGCAGGCACAGTGAGCCCTGTCGCTCACGCTAAACGCCACTGAGATTGCCGCCTGGCTACTGCCTTCCTCTGCCTGCCCACTTTTGCAGGGGTTTTATCTGGAGTGCGTGTGTGAGAGAGAGAGAGAGAGATTTTTGTAATGGGAGACCTGATGCCATTGAAGAATGCTCTCTGAGGGTTACATTGTTTTTTCCCCACTCGAAGGGAGTTCTCCATAATCATCATGTCCAGACATGTTTCTCCACTTTCTGGAGCTCTGTGGTTGAAAGGAATTGTAGAGCTACCCCCGTATTCAATAAGAATACTGATAGTAATATTCTGCCATGCTGCTTGAGCCCATTAGAAGTGCGTGGTCACATTAGCCATCCTTGCTGGAGCAGGTGCGGGATTTTAAATCACCTTTGATGTATTATTTTCTGGGCTCGGAAGGGGGCTTAGAGTTGAGAGGATCTCTGGAGAAAACAGAGGTAAGAGCCTCCCTGGTGGCTCCGAGGGTTGGTCTCCGCAGTCCGGGCTGGTCAGTGGCTGCTCTGCGCCCCCACACCACCTGCACCAGGGTGAGGGCGTCCCGTGACCATCACAGTCAGGCCAGGTGTTTTGGAGACCCAAGCTCATGTTTTCTGAAATTTGTGCAGAGATGCGGTGGTCCAAACTTCTGAATCTTCCTCCCTTGCAGCCTGGATCTTTTATTTCCAATTATTACTATCAAAGATCAATTCTTTATTTTAAGATCCTGCAGTCTCCTAAAACTCTGGAGACTCCAGACGGGTGCATCTCTCCACCCAAGACACTAGCCTGGCTGGGCTACATTTTTGGTGTCTGGTTCTCGATGGCATTATGAATTAAGCTGTAGCCCTCACTAGAAGGACCCTGCTCTGCAGGTATCAACTCTAAAGGGAAGTCTTTAACCTGAAAAATAACTTTACTGGGGTAATATGCAGAACTCTGGTTAAGGCAGTGGTCCTCCAAAGCATCCCCTAAAACAGCACTCTTTAAAGAACCAATGGTGGTATGCTGGGTCAAAAAGCAAAAAACAAACCATCAGATAAGTCCATCAGAATTGCTATACGCCACTTGAGAAAGCATTTTCAAAGACTGTTATATGACTGTGCTTGTGACACAACATTTCTTTGTCAACTAGTTAAGATACTCCTGGTTCCCGGGGAGCATCAGTGAGCAACACCAGGAAACCCCAAAGAATGAGGGAGTTATGATTCTATTTGAGAAGTTGTACCTCTGGGATTTGCTTTCTAGGTTCCTTTCACTGTTTGTTGGTGAGGAAAAAGAACAAGCACATAGAGGAAAGTTAGACTCCACATTCCATCAGCCGTTCAGAGAAGCTCACTCATGCTCCAAAGATAAATAATAATCCTTATTTTTCTACTCAAGGTGGCACACTTTATGCTTTATCAACATTCCAGTTTGAGCAAATTTTCCATGCCAAGACAGAAGCTTTTCATGGGTAAAATGACCTTCCATATGTACATCAGCAAAGTTTTGTGTTTGACAAATTCAGGGCCAAATAGAATCAGAGCAGCCTTTTAATGATTGAGGCAATATAAGGTCCCAAGACTTTCTTGTGAAAACACCATGTCCAATGGTGCTGCTGGTTTCAGTCATTTTGTATTTCTTACAACATTCGGAGAAGCAGAAAAATGTAGATTTCAGCACTGTCGGCACTGTCACCGCCGAAATGGACTAACTGCTTTTCAGTTTAGGAAGAGGCTCTTGACTTGGGCGTGTTGGACACCTCCTCCGCAGCGTGGGATGAAACCACGCTAATTCTAGTGCATACATGCACACACAAACACAACTTCCAGAACGTCTGCAAACATGCCCAGATGACCAACTCATTTATCGGTTCAGGTATGAGGTGGTTTTTTTTTTCATGTTCCTTTGCCATTCCATCTGCCTTAGATTGTTTGATTTGCCCTTCTGGCTCTTGGATTTGTATACCAACCAGTCTCTTTAAATTCAGTGTATCTGTTTGTGGTGTGGGCATCTGATCTGTGTATATACTTGTGAAACAGAATAATATTTTGATGTACTGAGGCTGTCATCTGATTTAGTGAGGTCTGATCAACCCAAGAGCTATAATATCGGTCCTCTCTCATTTCATTCCCATGGAAGTTGTGATAACCAATAGATTTCTGCTGAACTCTTGTTTCCCGCCTCTGGGACCCACTTCAGATGTAACCATGAGGAGCAAATTAGTTGAACCTGGCAACTTCAAAAGGTCAGAAAAAAAGTAAGTTCAAGGGATGCCCTGTAGCTTTTACTCCCCTGTGTTGCCACAAACTGAATTTCCCTCACCACTTCCCGGCAAAGCAGTAAGGCCCGTACAGTTCCTTGTTCTGATTGTATCCCAAGCTTTTGTTTCCCAAATTTTACATCATATGCTATTCCCTCTTGTAAATATCTCCCACCTTCTTGGTTTTAGAAGTCTTTTTCTTTCAGTCTGATTAGTAGGCAGAATATATAGATCTGATTTGAGGGTATCTTTTTGGAAAATCATCATCAGAGAGTCACACTTGTATTTAGAACCTTCAAATTCTTTCCTTGGCTACCTTTGCTGCCAAAGAGAACTGCAAACGTTAGCATGATGGCCAGTTGAGGGCTAAGCTCAGAGTTAGGGCTCAGTAAATGTTTATTTGATGCATTTGCATTTAGCAAAGATAATGCATTCTCAGTACAAGGGAGTGGGGGGCAGGATACGATCCTATCCAAAGTCTCATACTGTAATGATCTACTTCAGTCTTCTCTACAGAAGTTTTGTAAATTCCCCTGCATTTATTTTTAGACAGAGTGTCTCTCTCTCTTTAAAAAAATCGATTTTATTCATGTCTCACAAGGAATATTTTTCTTCCTTTTCAATCACTTTTAAATGATATGGGGATATAAAAGTGACATGAGTCGGCTTTGTAACAGTGAGACTGCCTCTAAAACTAGAGTTGCATCAGGCATGCTATTCGACTGTATGGGATGCAAGGTTATGTTTCACTGGGGAAAACTGCTCTAATTATGGAAGCGTTGCCTGTGTGAAAGGGTCCACTCCATTTCCTTGCTGGGGCTGTCTACAAAAATTACCAAGAGAAATTTACTTTTTATCTCCTTTCTTTGTTCACTTCCTCTTTTCTTTCTTTCTTTAATATGCTTTCTGTTTAATGAATCAGTTCATATTACCCTCTTGTGAACTGCAAGTCTGGGTGGCTTAGAAGA